ACTCACACAACCTGGCAAAACCTTCCTCCACTTTATTCTCTTCAGGATGCTCTTTGAGAAGTTAGTATCCTCTGCATACCTGGTGATACCACTTCCATTGATCCCAGGAGGGAGGGTTTCCCCAGGCCATAGCAAGGATCAGTTGCAGGAATTGGGTCTATTTAACCTTGAGAAGCAATAACTTAGTGAGGGAGAACAGGCACTCTGAGTATTTGAAGGGCTGTCCTACGAAGAGGTAGAATGAGTTACCATCACTGGAGGTGTTTAAGTGGAAACTGGATGATCATTTGTTGAGAATGTTGTAGACACATGTATAACCAGTATCAGATTGCTTAATGTCTTAGGGAGAAGGGAGGGGAGGGGAGGAAGGAGGGAGAGAATTTGGAACTCGAAATTTAAAAAAAATAATGTTAAAAAAAATTTTACATGTAACTGAGGGAAAAGTATTTTTTTAAAAAGAGACAGTGCAGTAGAGGGGATTACTACTAGGTTACAAGTTGGACTGTTTCAGAATTTCAGTTTGCAAGATCTGTCTCAACAGTCTTTCAGGTCTCATGGGGGCTCGGTTTTGACAACAGTAGAATTTTCACTGGTCTACTCAAACGAACTAGTTCTTGCCACAGCACCTGCCACTTGGATATGAAGCTGCAGAACTCCCAGAACGTTAGGTGCTTGGTGCAGAGCTCATCCTTCCTGGGAGAGGTTCCGGTTCTGAATGTGCTTTCTTTTCCTCCAGGATAAAGTGTTGCGTATGCTGTACGTGTGGGCACTCTGTAGAGACCAGACTGAGCTCAACCCTTACGCAGCCTGGAGGCTGCTGGACATTTCAGCCTCAAGCACAGAGCAGATTCTCTGAAGACAGCTGTTGGGGACCTGCTGGACTGTGCTTTGTTGTTCTCCCAGCAAGGGCCCCACTACTGTCAGAAGCTTCAGGATGCAAGACCATTTGGCTCCTGCAGGGTACTTGTAACCCCCCCTTTCCAGGATCCAGTGTGAAAGGAGGGGGGGGAGGGAAGACTGGGGACTGGATGAGATAAGGACATGAGAAAGTTCCCCTTGGGGAATGCAGTTGCCTCAGAGGGGTGGTGTTGGGGACATGGTATATGAGCAGGGTAGCTCATAGGGTCCCAGGTTTATAAGGTTAAGACTGTCGCAGAAGAAGCCTGAGGCCTGGTACACTGTTGTCTCCCTCTTTCCTGCATTGGGCCCAATAGGTGGATCCAGGGAGCATCTCTGCCTTGGCCTGCTGCCTAGAGACCTTTCCTTCTCCCTCTGTCCTTTCCTCTCCCCACAGGCTGGTTGGTTAGTAACTGAGAGAAGCCAAATTGGGTGCCACAAGTCCTGCAGAGGCCCAGGAGCCGGGCATCCAAAAGCAAAAAGCGAAAGTGAACTGAGGTCCCTGAACACAAAGCTTGCTGAAGCAGTTCGGGAGAAGGGGGATATTGGGGATGGCGAGGGAAGAGTGAAGCACAAGGCCCTACAAGGAGGTGGAGGGGAGCAGCTGTGCCCCACTTGGTCCTATGCAACGGGGAGGAAGAGGATTAGAAAGGAAAGACTGTCACCCCACCTCCTGCACACATACAACTTCTAGACCTGGCAACCTGTCCTGTCTTGGAGGGGCCTTGAGGGACAGAGCCTGGTGCTGTCTCCTCCCCTCTCTGGCCTCAGTTATCCCTCCTCTTCTCTGGTGAAGGGGTATACTTCCTGCCAGGTGCCTCCATCTCTGGCATCAGATCAGCCAAGTCATTCTAGAGCATTTTTAAAAATAACAAAACCTGAATGTCTTTCATTTCTGTACATGCTGCCTGAAGATTTGAAAATAATAAAATACCAAAATGAATAACAAATATGGTTCCTGATTTTACTTAGGCTGTCAGGGTAGGTGAGTCAGCCACAACCTAGGGAGGGGGAAGGGGGAAGGGAGGGAAGGGTAGAGTGTATCGGACAAGCAGTTTGCTGCTCAGACTTCCCCAGGACTTGAAGGCGGTTGGAGAGACAGACAGCAACTGGAGGCTTGGGACTCATTGTCTAGCTCCCTACAGCAGAGCCAGCTTCTTACTGAGAAAGGAATGGGGTCAGTGGGCCAGGCCATAGTGAGACTGCCAGGCCTGCCCTGCTGGGCTGGCTCAGCCAGCCTTAAGGAGGATGATCTAGTGCCTGGATGGGATTGCTTGAGCCCCAAGGGTAGAGAGCCAGATTAGACCCAGGTTGGAGAGGAAGCCACTGGCCTGTACCCAGGGACAGAAGGGGCCTTGCTTCCTTTGCTCCCCCAGGGAGTATGGTTCTCCTGGATATGAAGAAGTTCAGGGTTCAGTGTGAATGTCCTTGGGTCCAGAAGGGGAAGGCCACAGAGGGGATCACCCTCCCCAGAGAAACATGTTTTCGTATATGTAAACCTACATGCCAAGCCAATGTGCTTCCTTCTCCAGGGAAGATAATTTCAGTTATTGGACACAAAAGGTTCCAGATGTCAATTGTGAAGTGTGGGCACACGCTGACAGAGAAGACACAGCTCCGGACCTGGCCGAACAAACACTCTCCCCTCCCTAGTTCCTGAGTAAAGGGAAGAGATGGTGGGACCCCAGTCGTGTCCCTTTGGGGCCCCTGCCTGGCCTATGCTAGGGAGTAAGGAGTGAGTGTGGGGTTAAAAGGGATGAGGGTAGGGTGAGATCTCTATGGATTCCCATTCTGCTCACCTCCAGAATCTGGGATGAGGTGGGCATTGGTGCTGGGTAGAATTGAGATGGGGTCTGCAGGACGGGAGAGGGAGTGAATGTTAGAGCTAAAGATGTGTTTAGGAGCTCCCTGATGCCCCGATCAAGTGATATAATGCACTTCATTATGTAAAGGGAGAAGGGGAGGGAAAGGAATAAGCGTTTATATAACTCCTACTACGTGCCAGCCACTGTTAAGTGCTTTAAAAAAGAAGTCCAAATGTTTGAACCTCCCAACAACCCCGGGAGGGAGGTGCTGATATTTTGCAGTTGAAGAAACTGAGGCAGGTAAGGAGTGACGTGACTTACCCAGGGTCACACAGCTAGGAAGGTTCTGTGGTCAGATTTTTGAACTCGGGTCTTTTCTGATTTCAATGCCTAGCGCTCTCTTCACTGCGCCATCAGTCTAGGCTAGGGCCTGTGGGGCTTGCCTGGAGGCGGATGGGGTGGTGGGTCGGATAGAGATGGCTGGGAACGGTGGAAGCGGGGGAGGGGGCTTGGTCGGGGGAGTAGCTGGGATCTACAGCATTAGGGTGGGGGAAGCAGGACTGTTCCGGGAAACCGCAGCAGGTATCGCAGGGGGAGTGCCCGAGGAGAAGAGCTAAGTTCAAGTAGGGCTACAGGGTTGGTGTGGAGGCTACCCGGCCTGCAGAGAGTTAAGGGGCTGTGCGGTGGGGAGCCCTCCCTCCCTTCCCCCCCGCCCCCTCCCCCGCTCCTCAGGGCTCTGGGCGGCGGCCCCGCCCCCGTCGCCATGGGAACAGCCGCGGCGGCTCGGGCTGCGCCTCCTCCGTCTACTCCGGCAGGGCAGGCAGGGCCAGCTGAGCCGGGGTTGAGCGCACCGAGACGCGGGGAGAGCGAAGAGGAGGAGCGGAGAGGAGAGGGGTTGAGGGAGCGCACCGAGACGCCCTCACCCCCAGCCCTGGGTGAGGGAGGGGGCTGGGGGGGGCAGAGGTGGGGCTGTAGGAGCCACGGGCAGGAAAACAGGGCTAGGGACGAGCACGGATGGGGAGGGGGCTGCAAGGGCGGGGCGAGCACAGACGAGGAAGGGGCGCTGCGGGGGTGACACGGAAGGGGCAGGGGACAAGGGGGCGACCTTGGGCCGAACAGGGTTTAGAGACTCGGGGGCACGTGGGCTGGAGGGTGAGTGGGTAGGAAGGAGGCGGGCAACGGCCTCTGGGCACCCGGGTGGGTGGGCACAGGCTAGGGTGGCTGGGATAGCTGGGGCAGGCTAGGCAAGGGAAGCAGCCCCCAGGTAGGTGAGGTTGGGCTGGGGCTGGACTGGAGCTGGGCTGGGGATGGGGATGGAGATGGCTGGGGGCTGGGGTGCGCGGGTGTAGGGTGTGGTGTGGGGCGAGATGAGGACCGGAGTGCCTGGCTCTCCAGGTTCTTCGTCTCATCCCTCATATGCACCGAGTCAGAGGGCTGGGGTAGGGGGCCAGAGGGGGAGGTAGGGAAGGGAGTACACGGGCGTGGGCAGGTTAAGAGATGAGTGGGTGGGTTTAAAAATAGGAAAATAGGTGTGGAGTGGGGTGGGATGTGATGAGGTCGCGGGATGGGTGAGGTGAGATGGGTGGGGACGTGGGTTTGAAGTGCTGTAAGGGGGTAAGGGGCTGGAGGTGGTTAGGGTGAATAGATGGGGGATGGAACCGTGATAAAATTGGGTGTACGAGGGCGGGGAGGGGAGGAGTATGGAAATGGTGTGATAGGAAAGGGTGCTGAGGTTCCAGGGACTGGGGGTGTTTGGAAGGAGGTGAGGTAAAATTGGACTTACGGGGTACAGACTAGCACCGAGATATGTGGTGTGTGGTTAGATGAGGGTAGCTGGGCGGGGTAAAGGAGCAAGGGATTAGGTGATGGGACGCGTTTGGGGGGATGGCGGGACTAGGTTGGGATGGTACAATTGAGGTGAGGTGGGAGATGAGATGGGGCCTGGGGGCGTAAGGAGGGTAGCGAGGACATGAGAGACAGAGGTAAAGGGTGTATGATTGTGGAGCGGAGTGAGAATGAGGTGGGATTAGGAGTATGGGGGCGGGGATGGGTGTGTAGGATGCGTAGCGGGCTGGAGGTTTAAGGGAGCCGTGGCGTTGGGGACTAAGTGAGGGTTGGGGGGTGGGGAAGGTACGAGGAAGGGGTGAAATGAGACAGGGATGGGGTGGGGGCCACTGGGGGCGTGGCAGCCATTTGTGGCTCTTCTCCCTCTCCCCAGGTCTCTGTGCCAGTCCGGTCCGGGTCGTAGCCCCAGAGGGGGAGGCGGGCAGACGGGCGATGTGAGCTGCCAGTGGAGCCATGAGCTCCGCCTGGACTCCAGACTACGAGGCGCTGTCCCCGGCAGGGGCTCCAGGGCCAGGGGGAAGCGGGGGGTCCGCGGGGCTGGACGCCGAGCAGCGCACGGTCTTCGCCTTTGTTCTGTTTCTGCTGCTGTTCCTGGTGCTGCTCATGGTGCGCTGCGTCCGCATCCTCCTGGACCCCTACAGCCGCATGCCTGCCTCGTCCTGGACCGACCACAAGGAGGCGCTAGAGAGGGGCCAGTTCGACTATGCGTTGGTGTGAGGGTAGAGCGGAGGGGTCCCGCACCTACCCACCCTGCCCCAGCCCGTGCCCCTGCCCCTGCCCCTACCCCTGCCCCTGCCTCGCCCTGAGATTCCGCCCTCTCTCCTCCCTACCCTGGTATCTCTACGGCATCCCCGGACTGGCCTAGAATCCAAGGCCCAGGACCACCTCCATTCTTGCACCCCAGCTTGGTCTAGAGCTCCCCAAACTCACCCCTCACCACTTTACCTCATCTGGCCTAACCTCAGGCTTTTCTCCTTATCCAGATGCCCTGATTCCCACCTGGCCTGGCCTGTGACCCAAGGCTCAAGGCTATCCCATTCCCCTGACCCAAAGCCTGGTCTAGGCCTCCCTTCTCAAACCCAGAATCCACCTCCAGCCTGACCTGCCCTGGGACCAGAAGCCCAGGCTTCCCCTAATCCTGACTCCTGCTCCTAAGCTCTCACATCCACTCTGCCCTTCCACCCCGACCCCCACCTGAGGGCACAAGATGAGCAGGCCTAAGGTCTGGCAGGTGATGCTTTTCCAAGCGGAGTGGGCCATTCTCCCCACCCACTTCCATCAGGGAGGGACTAGAGTGAGCAAGCTCTGGGAGGCAGGTCCCCCATTTCTGTGCTTTGGGGAGTTCCTCTGGCCAGGATGGTGGCTGCTCATCTGCCCCCTCACCTGCACCTGCCCTGCCTGCTACCTGATGATGGATAATCAAAGCTCTGGATGCTGCATCCTCCTCCTTTTCCTCTGCCTGTTTGACCTGCTGGCCTCCCCTCTCTCATGACAGCTGGCTGGCCACTCTCCTGGAGCACTCAGGACTGATGCCCTTCCCCCAGACTGGGACTGCAGAACCTAGTTACTGAAGAGAAATTCAGCAAGATCCCCCCTCCTCCACTCCCAGCACTTTAGCCCCTCCCTCAATTCAACAAGCATTTAGTAAGCACCTATTACGTGCTTACTAGCTCAACCCAGCCCCCTCTCCCTAACCTCAGAAGCCTCCCTCCTTTTCTGATGGTTGACTTCCTGGTCAAGGAGATCCTAAGCAGAGGGGCTTCGTCAGGGCAGTGAGGGCAGTGGGGGGGAGTACGACTCTGCAAGGCATTGCAATTGAACCTGTCTTAACACTCCTTAAATGCCTACTGTGTGAAGGGCAGCAGATGATTGAAGTTGGCTCAAACTAGACTTGGTAGTGGGTTTCTTTGACAAGGCTATACCTAGCTGCAGGTCAGCCCCAAACCCTTATTAGCTAACCCCCCCCCCCATTCCCCCAGGGTGGAGGGAATGTCTGCTGAGAGCTGATACAGGCGTGGCCACCCTGCCCTCTCTGTCCCCCTGCGCTCTCCTCATGTGACTGTAGTAACCTCTAAGCCTGTCTCCCAACCCTCAATCAGGGGCCTTCTGCTCTCCCAGACCCCACAGGCTGACTTTGTTATCCACCTCTGTGCCTTTGTTCCTACCATTTCCCTACCTAGAATGGCGTCCCCAGCTTCTTGGCCACCTGATCTTTTTCCAAGCCCATATGATATCCTTGACACATCCCTCCTGTTGCTTTGCTGTCTGTCCACCCCCAAAGCATAGAAGCTTAGGAAGGGTGTGGGGGCCTCTTCCCCCCTGGATTACTGTAGGGTTGTTTTTTTTTTTTCATCCAGGGCTGGTGCCTGGCTAGTTATCCCAAACGCCCCTGCCCCACCATGCAGGATTTATAAACGAGTTCCCACAAGTGCTGAGCCCCTACCCCACCTGGCTGGGCTCTAAAACCAAAGCAGCTCACCCAGACCACCCCTGAGCTAAAACTAGCAGACGTACCCAGGACAAGCCAAACATAGGAGAGGGGAAGGGGAGGAAAGCTGGACAGCGGACAGAGACAACACCCGCAGCCGCTGTAGCTCAGGCCCAAATAATAAATAACAAATCATCCTGTCCTGAGTGTGAGTGTTTTTTGTGATGAGGTGGAAAAAAAGAGCTTCAAGGTGAATGAGAGACAGAGCAGGGCAGTGGGAAAGCGTCCTGGACTGGCAGGGAGACCACCTGGATCCGAATCTCAGCTCTGCCTCTAGCTGTGTGTCTTTGGGTATAAACCTCCCACTCCCCGGGTCTACTCCCGTACTATAAAGTGGGGAGGGAGAAGGGGCTGGGCTGGATGTCTAGAGCATTATCCCACTTCTGATATTCTGTCCCTTCGATCCTGGCTGTGCTGATCAACTACTTCACATGCGGCTCTTGCCACCACCAGACTCCCTCCCCCGCTCCCCCTTCCCTGTGCCCTTCCAAAACCAGGACTGGGTCATTCAGTCCTATTCCTCTGCCCCAGCCCCCATTGTGCGAGCTGTTGCAGAGGGTCAGAGGGTCTCAGAACCTAGCAGCCCTGGCCCATTCGTGCCACTGTCCTACTGCCCTCTTACCCACATCGGCTCACTTCTGACAGCACCTGTTCAATGACATTTTCTCAAATTCCCCTTCAACTCCCAGCCCCATATGCTTCCCATCCCCCTTACAATAAACACCTTTGTACCCTTATTTCCATGAGATGCAGTGTGTTAAGCGCCTGCTAAACCTGAAGTGGGGGGTGGAACAAAACCATCCCCTGCACCACTTTCATCACTTTCCCCGTCCTTTGGAAGGCCACGTCCCCTCTACCTCTACCTCGGCTTCTTGAGCCAATGCCTTGCTCGAGCATCTTTGGGCTGGAAGAAATAGCTCCTGGTATGGTTGAAGTTCAAGACACAATGACATTCTGAAGTGCCTCTGGGGGTGCCAGAGGGGCCCTGCCCTGCCTACAGCAGCTGAGAGTTAGGGGGATGGTGAAGCCATAGTCCAGTGAACAACAAAGGACAAGGAGAGAGTAGAGGTTGGGGCTAGTGACCGGTATCTACTGAGAGCTTTGTGCCGAGAGTGGAGTTTCAGCTGGTGGTATGATTGGAATGGCGGAGGAAAGAGGGGTTGAGACCAGATGCGAGGACCGTAAGTCACCCCTTGGCCTAGGCTCTAGGATCCAAGTTTTATAGAACAAATCCTTTTATTAAGGGGTGAAAGGGCCACACTTGAGGACCTAGAGGGCCACACTCAGCCTCCAGGCCCAAGGTTCCCCACCACTGTTCTAGGGCATCCCAGGAAGGAAGAAGAGCGGACTCATCGATCTGAATGGGCCAGTTCACTGGAGGCAGGATTGGAAGAATGGCTTAGTGGAAAGAATGCTGGACTTGAGGGCCCAATGGGCCTCCGTCTGAATTCCACATCTGACGCTTGCCTTATGCGATCCTGATCATCACCCCTCATCATCCGGGAGGGATCAGTAGAGCTCTCAGGAGTGGGGCTCTCTCCCTAGGCCGTTACTGGTTGAGGTGCTACCTCAGCTGGAAAATGGGGGTATTAATCTGCACACCACCTCCCTCACTGGGTAACTGTAAAGCTTGTTCCGTAGTAATGGGAGAACAGGCACGGACTGAGACAGCTGAGCTAAGAACGAGTGGACATGGGGTCCAAGTGAAGTCTGAAAAAAGGATCTGAGAAAAAATGCAGTCCCTGGGTCTGTCTCCTTCGTGGACAGCCACAATGGGGGGGAGAGCAGGGCCCAGAAGTTAGCTGTCCCCTCCCTGATGTGGACTGCGGCTGGGAGGACAAGCAGAACCTCGGAAAGAAAGAAGAAAACAGCGTGGGAAGCTGGGGTTGGGACAGGGCACGTGTCAAGAAATGTTCATTTTGAACCTGCTTGAAAATGAATTAAGATTTTGTAGACTGTTTATTGTATCATATATTTAGGTGAAATAGAATATACATGCATGGCCCAGTTTTCAATCACGATACCACTGAATATTCTGTTTGATGAAATGAGGATGGGAAAGAATGGAAAAAAACAACCCAGAATTGCGAAAGAAGTTCATGCTTCTTTGAAGAAGCTGTCTGATTTTAAGTTAAAAACCTCAAAATTGCTTGTTTAATTGGGATATTAATGAAGCAAAATTAATTTGGTGTTAGTGAGCACAGTTAACACCGGATGACTGTCGGAGGAGCAAAGGTGGGCGCCTGAGTTAACTATGACTGAAACTAATTTTTGAGAAAGCACATCTCCACATTAATTAGACAAAGTAAATAGTTTCATTTTAAAATTAAATGACAAAAATGAATGACTTAGCAGCTTTACAACCACTTGTAAATTATGCTGACAAATTTCTTAGTTACTTGTAATTTAATTTTGTTTTTATTAGCTTTTTAAAATTTTATTTTGAAAATAAAAACCAGTATCCAGAATCCTGTCTTGTATTCCTTCTGAACCTAAGTTACATATTTTTGAGATGGATAAACTTAACTGTGCCCATCAGCAACCAAATCACAAGGCTGAGGCAGAAACCCAATCTTCACTACAATACCTGACTGAAAACTAAGGTATCAAAGGAATGATAGTGTTGAGGGTGGCAAATACCGGGGTGTTCTGATGCTGAACTATCTCATGCACACCAGGCAGAGTGGAGAAGAGGAGGAGAGGAAGACCATGCACATTAGAGATACTCAACCAGTATTTGCTGAAGAAGCAAACGCATCATTTTTTTTGAAATCACACTTAAATGATACTTTAAGGTTTAAAAAGTGCTTTTCCCAGAATAACCCTGACTGCCCCAGAACTCCCAGGACTTGTCTGCCTGAAATCTCTTTCAAACACATATACAACTCTTCAAATCCAGAGAGGGAATGGGGTTCAGCAGAACAGATATGATTCTGGGCCCCAGGAACTTTGGAATCTCTTTAAATTCCTACCTAGTACAGATTTTTAGGTACTTGTTCAGATCAGATATTGAGAATAGGGAATCAGATAAACCCAGTCATGGAATTGCCTAGAAACCTAGGATAAAATAGGAAAGGAATTTCAGAAATAATAAAACATAGCTTTATTTCCTAGGAGCTCACCTTTTTTCTCTCCTCCTCTCACCCTGACCACACACACACACACACACACACACACACCCCCTCGCCTGGGGATGCAGTGTAGGGCTCCGCCCTCAGGAGGGTCTCCTGGCAAAGGGCCTGCCAGTGCTCACTGCCCAGGAGTTGGGGCCTGAGACAGAAGCTCCAAGGGAACCAGGAATGGGTTCAGAGGACAGAACTCCAGATCCTGCCACAGCTGGTGCTGAGCAGGGGGAGGACTTGGCCCAGAAGCGGAAGACCTCTCAGGAGCTGGGCTTTCCATGCTTCCTGGGGCACTGCTAGGGGAGGTGCTAACTTCACTGTCTTCCACGGACTGGCCTTTGCCAGGTTCCTCAGGGCTTGGGCCTGAGTTCGATTGAGGGCGTACCAGTTTTCTGTAGGAACTAGCCATGTGGGCCTGCAGCCTTTCACAGGGCAGGCGACTGAGCTCCTCAGGGAGGGACATGAGCAGATCAAGGAGGACGGCAGACTCTAGGAATCAAGAAAAAGGGGGAGTGAGTGTGGCTGGGGATGATGATAAGGGCAACTAGCACTGACAGAGCACTTGAAGGTCTGCAAAGCACTTTACAAGGATGACCTCATTTAATCCTCACAGCAGCCCTGGGAGGAGAGGTTCAATGACTCACCCAGGGTCACACGGTAGTGAGTATCTGAAGCCAAGTCTAGCCCTCTCTCCCCTCCCTATCCCTGCCCCACCTCTCGGCCCATTGCTCTGCCTCTTGCCCCCCACCTCCAGCACTGAGCTCCCCTCTCATCACATTCCCACTCACCTCCAGGGGAAAGCTCAAGGCCCTTGCCACTCCGAGATACACTTGAAAGATATTTATATATCTTCTCAAAGTCAATGACAAAGTCTCCATTTGCGGGTGAGGCCAGGCTAGATTTGGAGGAGTTCATCTTGACCTGGGTGTCTGAGGTGCCAGATACTCCCCCACTGGTCTCTTGGGTGGGCTCTGGAGCCTGAGGTGGGAGTTCTCCCTGGGAACAAGAGTCTTTGGAGAGAAGCTGTCTCTCACTGGCTTGGGTTGGCTTCTCCGGAATGGAGTGGAGCAGACTCACGGGTTCTGTCGCAGCAATGGTCAGGATCTGGGAGGGGCAGAGAGAAAACAGGCACAGCATAAAGGGCCCGCAGTCAGGGGCCTGATGCCTGCAGGAGCCAGGACAGCTTAGAGCAGCCCCTCACCATGAATTTGTTCTTCCTCTGGGTCAGGGGCTCTTTGGTTTCCCACCTCCTTCATTTTCAGAAACTATTCCCTTTTACAGGTCTTTCTCACCCTTCCCAGTGGAAGAAAAACAAAGCCACTGTCATTATCATGCATAGTCTAGCAAAACAAAAACCTTCATTGGCCAGGCCAAAAAATGAATGTCTCTTTTTGCATCTGAAGTTCACCCGTCTCTTGCAAGAGGATCTCCTCAACCTCTCTTGTGCTATGGAACTCTTTGGCAGTTTGGTGACATCTACAAATCCTTTCTCAGAATCACGGTTTTTTAAATCATTAAAGGAAATTAGAAGTTAGTGAAAATAAAGTTAGTCAGTAATTTAAGCATTTATTAAGCATGGACTATGTGCCAGGGACTGTGCTTAACCCTGGGGAGACAAAGGGAGGCAATAAACACCCCCTCTTTCAAAGAGCTCACAATCTAACGAGGGACACAGCATGCAAACAACTGGGTAGCAAACAAGCTACAATCAGCAGAGGGAAGGGCACTAGCATTCAGGGGGATGAGGGAAGGCCTCTTGCAGAAGGTAGGACTTAGGAAGCCAGAGAAACCAGGACGTACAGAGAGTGCCAGGCATGGCGGGCAGCCAGTGAACACCCTTCGAGTCAGGAGATGGAGAGCCAATGGCAGCAGATCAGAGAGGGCATGGAAGGGAGGGAGGGATAAGAAGGCCAAGGGGCTCAGGTCATGAAAGGCTCTGAAAGCCAAACAGGATTTTATATTTGATCCCAGGGGTAGGAGGGAGCCACTGGAGTTTTGAGAGTAGGAGGTGTAATTAGAGTTCAAAGATTCTCCTGAAAATTATTCATGGAACCCTTGGGGGGTGGGGGGGAACGTATCAAGCCTAGTTTAAGATCCCCTGCTCTAGATTTTCCCCAAAAGACAGATGCATGGGTAATGACTTCTCAGAAAGACCATTTTGTGACGTCCTTTTCTGATGGCTCACTGAGGCCAAGGAGAGGCCCTGGGCTCTTTAAGGCTGTCCTGGTAAGTCTACCAAAATGGAAAGCCTTCAAGTCTGCTCTGGTGGCAGTATTCAAGGCTTAGCAGAGCCAGTTCAGGAAAGCCTTATTCCCAGATAGCTGGCCGTGAGAAGATGAAGTTTTCTGACTGTAGGAGCTCAACAAGGTGGTCAACTATGACACAGACAAGGCAGTGCCTACCCTGATGAAATCACAGATATCTGGAAAAAAGAATTGAGTTTGAGAATTTCGGGGCCCCTGGTACCTGGGAAAAGGCAGTGGTCATCGCTTCTTCCAACTGGCTGGTGACCTTTGTAGCCAGATCTGTCCAAACCTAGAATGGAATCCAGTATTACAATCTGATCACCCATGGCCACTGCTTACCTTTTCTTGGCAAGATATCAACTGCCTCCCTTCTTCCTCCCCCAGCTCCATCTCACATCCCTCAAAGACTCCTCTCACACCCAGCCAAATGCCACAGCATCACAGGGACCTTAAGGACCACTAGATTCTAGTCCAGTCCCCTCATTTTACAGATTGGGTAATGGAGGCACAGAGGCTAAAAGACTGGTTCTGGCAAATCCAACGCTCCTGCCATCCTTCCGTGTGCCACACCAATTAAACTGGGGTCTTTTCTCTCACACCCCACCTCTTGCTTATGGGTCTCCTGTCCCCCACATTCTGACTTCTCTGGTATTCTCACCCCATCTTCACCTCAATGGGGGCTGGAACTTCAGCCTTGTGAAGCCTCTGTTCCTTCTGGCAGCAGCGATGCTCCTGCTGAATTACCTCCCGGGTCACACGACGCTTCAACAACTGCAAGAAATCCTGGATCTAGCAAGAAACAACAGGAGGGGTACAGAAGGAATCAGAAAGGATGCTAACGTCCTGAGTTTGTCCAAAGCTTCACTCAGGGTAGGGCTGAGGGCTGTCCCATTCCCCGTGTCCCCTGAACACACTGCCTCAAGCATTCAGTAAGCCTAAATCCAAGCCAACGAGCATCATTAATCACATAATAATCATGATTGCCGGTATTTATATAGTGCTTTAAGTGGCAAAGCACTTTACGAATGTTAACTCATTTAACTATGTGCCAAACACTGTGCTAAGCACTGGGGATACAAACGTAGGCAAAAATAGCTCCTGACCCAAAGGAGCTCATGACATAATCTGAATCAAACCCATCTCCTACAGGAAGCCTTCCCTGGTTTCCCCTGGTAAGTTAAGTCCTGCCCCTTAAACACAGAGAGACCTTTGTACCTTCTACTATATTTGTCACATCGTAGTGCATGTTATCTGTTTTGGTTTTAACCCCCACGAGACTCTGAGTCTCAGGACTGGCATTCTATATCAAGAAGGTGTATTAATACTCACAAGCAGAAATCCATCTATTTTCAAAAATCATTTGATGATGTGTTTCATACTAGTCTTACAGAAGAGACAGAGAGACGTGGGCTAGATGAATGGTGTAAAGTTCAAAGACAAGGATCCCTGCTGGCTGCATGTTGACTTAGAAAACCACATATTCACATCATCTATGTTTTGTTTTATTTTTGTTTATTTTGTTACACATTTCCCAACTGGTGTTTGACATTTCTAGGCTAGAAGAGGGTACAATTACATAGATGGAGAGCTAGCTGGATGGTTGGACATGAATGACTTGGTATCAAATTGGAAGGAAGTTTTCAGTGCAATGCATCAGGATCGATGCTGGGCCATGTGCTGGTTAATATTTTTATCAAGACCTTGCATAAAGGCATAACGGGCACGCTTATCAGTTTTGTAGATCAGTTTTGGAAGGGATAGCCAATAAATACACTGGACATGGGAACACTGGAGCCAAAATTCAGTGGTGATGAGACAGGGTGGCGTAGGGGGAAAGCATGACAACTTCAGGCCTTAACTATGCCATATACTGCCTGTGCCACCCTGGAGAAGGCATTGCCTTTTCTGGTCTTACATTCCTTATCTAGAAAATAAAGGAAGGGGCTGGACACAATGGCCTGGGAGTCCTCTCCAACTTGAAATCTATGAAATAGTAAAATACAAATTCTTAGATGTGGGTTTTAAAAAATCAGCTTCATGAGCTGGGGCAGGCATCAGGATTGTCTCCCCTAATTAGAATGTGAGTTGCTTGAGACATTTTATTTGTATCCCTAACAATTAGCACAGTGCTTGGCTCACAGCAAACAGTTAATAAGTGCTTTTCCATTAGGTAGGAAATGTTCCATGCCAAAGCATGGTAAGACAGCAGTTTGTCTGAAAAGTATCTGGGGTTTGGGTGACTCACAGAGCCAACTGAGAAGGCAGCCAAAACAAAGCTTGGACTGCATTAAGAGAGGCACTGCTTCCAAGAGTAAAGAGGTGATGGTCCCACTGCACTCTGCCCTGGTCAGACCACTTCTGAAGTGCTGTACTAAGCCTGGCCACATTGGGGAAGGACACTGGTAAGCTGAGGAGCATCCAAAGAAGGGCCTGGATAAAGGTTTTGAGAAAGGCTTTGAGTCCATGAAGGAATTAGGGATGTTTACCATAAAGAAGAGAAGACTTAGTAGAAACATGAGAGACCTTCAAATACTTGGGAAAACCCCTGTGGAAGAAGGGGTTCAATGCGTTCTGTTTGGGTCCAGATCGCAGAACCAGGAGTGAAGGATACATGGAGGCAAATACAGGCTTGAGACAAGGAAAGACTTGGCAGCAGCGGGAGCTCTCTCAAAGATGAAGAGGCTGCCTTGTGGGTCAAAAGGTCTCTCTGGGCGAGGTTTCTGAAGCCGGACCTCCAGTTTCTGGGACACTGAAGGCCTTCTTCTTCAAGCTGCACGTGGATTACTTGGCTACTGAGGGTCCACCCTTCCAGAAGAAGGTCAGGCCCTCCTTGAGGGTGGGGCCTCCCCAGTTCTTCCTAAGTGCCTGGCACACAGTGGGTATTTAATAAATGCTTTTTGAACTGGATTTCAACTCTAAAATGCTGTGATTCTTTAATGTAATATGTTAATTTCCTCAGGGCCTTGCACTCAGAAGGTACTTCATAACTGTGTTGAATTTCTTGAACTTAATATAGAAAATCCCAATCATCCTTTTTTCCTTGGATAATCCACCCTATCTTGCCTGAGGAAGGGGAAGAGATCACCTCTCCTTCCTGATAGGAGGGATTTCCTCCTTCATGCTGGACCCCATTTTTCTCCCAAAGCTGACATCAATTATTTTCTGGATGCCACTGGCTTCAAGAGAGTAGCCTACCCTTGGTTCTCTCTCTCTCTGCCTCTTTGGGCACCCCCAGGACTCTTCTAACCAGCACATAGGAGGCTGGTTAGACTGAACGGATAACCCAATTCCTGCTTTTTAAACACCAGTTGTCTTTGTCTCTCACAGATCTTTACCCTGCCCCAACAGTCTGAGTAAGACATAAGCTCGTCCCCAACTCTGCTCTGTACAGCCTGAGGACCCAGACCACAAGACTGCTATCCCTGGGAGGGCTTAGGGAGACCATGAAGCCAAATGGGCTCATTTTAAATATGGAAAAATTGAAGCAAAGAAGAGGGAACTGGCTTGCCCAAGGTTACAAAGTCAGGAGCAGGGTGTCAGGACTCACACAAAGTACTCAGGGTACTGAAGGAGCATGAGCTCCCTCAGTCTCACCTGAGCCTCACTTCCATCCTGGGGATCCCCCTCATAGCTCCCCCAAATCCCCCAGGCCTTTCCCACTTTAGCCTCAATCCATCTCAACCTCAGCCCTCCTCCAACCAGGTTCAGCTCTCCTCCAACCAGGTTCAGCTGAGTCTCACCTTTCATAGCACAGATTAATAATAATGATGATGATGATGATAACAACGACAGCAGCATTTATATAGGCCTCAAGGTTTGCAAGGTGCTTCTCATGTTATCTTACTTGGTCCTCACCACATTCCCCTAATACAGGTGAAGAAACTGAGGCTGAGAGTATTGATTGAAGTAACTTGCCCAAGGTCACAGAGCTAGTTACTGCCTGAAGCAGAATTCAAATTCAGGTCTTCCTGATTCCAGGTCCAGCACTCCATCCACTGTGCCATCCAGCTGGCCTAAATCCAGCCCCAATCCCTCATCTAAAACTCACCCAAACCTGGGCCTGGCCCCCAACCAAATGTAACTCTGGCCCTGCCCCACCCCTTACCTAAGACTCCAGGCTCTGGCTCAGCCCCTTTCTTTACCCTCTCACTGGCCCCAGAATCCCTGCTCCCTCTCCTAATCTTACCAGGGAGCCCCTCCCCTGCTCAGTTAAGATCCCCTCAGATTCCCCTCCTCCCTGTGTGAACCTGACTCTTAGCCACCTAAATTCTCCCACCCTCTTCACCTCAACCTAGCTCTTGCCAGGAAAGCCCTCTGCCTCCCTCCAGCCTCACCTCTCATCCCAGCCCTGACCCATCTGAGCCTCGAACTTTGCCCTTTTCTCTTCAGCCCTGCTCCCAACCTTCCTCCTCTCCTGCCCCCATGAACTCCAATTCCTTGATTTCTCAATTGTCTCCCAGGCCATTTCCCCTGCACTGGCCACTCTCTCCTCTTTTTTTCCATCCTGACCCCTTGTTAAACTAATTCAGTTCTACACTGTGGCCCTCTCTTGAATCCCTAGCCCCTTTATCATTTCCTCCATTATGCCCTGCCAAAACTCAGCCTGGATCACTCCCACTATTTGCCACTTTCCGTATTACACATATGCTACAAAATGAAGATGAAGAAAATCACACAATCATTCTGACTAGGTCCACTACAAATTTGATACACAACCTCAACTGGGCCCTCACTGCTGCTAGGTAAACCTTCTACACCTCCCTCATCAACTCACTCTCTCACTCTCCACAGCAGCTCTTTCAAACCTCCTCATCCCTCCTCAAACCTCCCCTGGCTCTCCCTCCCCCTACTCTCTCAGCTGAGAACCTTGCCTCATATTTTACAGAAAAAAAAAATGAGGCCATTCACCATGAGCTCCCTCTTCTCCCTCTTTCTCATCTCCTATCACCCACGTGCCTTCTGTCCCTCTCTTCTCCTCCACCCCTGTCTCCTTGATAAGGTGGACTTACTCCTTACCAAGGCTAACCCTTCTACATGCTCAACGGGAACCTATTCCATCTCATCTCCAGTAACAGATTATCGCCCTCTGTCATCTGACTCTATCTCTTATTTTCAATCTCTCCAGCCTACTGGCTCATTTCCTGCTGCCTACAAACATGCCCAAGTCTCCATCATCCTGGAAAAACCCTCACTTGATCCTTCCATCCTTGCTAACTACCATGCTATGTCTTTTCTGTCCTTTGTGGCTAAACTCCAAGAGAAGGCCGTCTACAACAGGTGCTTCCACTATCCTTCTTAACCCCTCAACTCCTGCTCATGACCTCACTATTCCACCAAAACTGCTCCTTCCAAGTTGTCAATGATCTCTTGGCTGTCAAACCCAACGGCCCTTTCTCAATCCTCATTCTCCTTGACCTCTCTGCAGCCTTTGACACTGAGGATCATTCTCTCTTCTTTGATCCTCTCTTCTCTCTGGGTTTCTCCTCCTACCTCTCTGATCGCTCCTTTACTGGACCCTTCTCCAGATCACAGGTATCCCTCTGGGTTCTGTGCTGAGCCCTCTTCTCTTCTCCCTCCATACTACTTCACTTGATGATCTCATCAGCTCCAGTGAATTTAATTATGATCTCTAAAGTGATGATTCTCAAATCTACTTTTCTTCTATCTCCAATTGCCTTTCAGACATCTCAAACTGGATGTCCAGTAGACATCTGAAACTCAATATGTCTAAAACTGAACTCATTATCTTTCCCCCTAAACCTTCCCCACCGCCTATCTCCCCTATGACTGTAGAAAGCAACACCACACTCCCAATCCCTCAGGCTCCCAAACTAGGAGTCATTCTAGATTCCTCACTATCTCTTACCCCCATATCCAAGCTGTTTCCAAGGCCTGTGAATTTCTTTTCTCCCTCCCTCCCTCCCTTCCTTCCTTCATTCCTTCCTTGAAATTGGGGTTAAATGGCTTGCCCAGAGTCACACAGCTAGTGTGTGTTCTGTGTCTGAGGCCAGATTTCAACTCAGGTCCTCCTGACTCCAGGGCCAGTGCTCTATCCACTGCAAGGCCTGTCAATTTCACCTTTGCAACATCTCTCCCACATGTCCCCTTCTCTCCTCTGACACTGTCACCCCCCTAGTGCAGACTCTCATCATCTCACACCCAGTCCTATAACAATAGCCTGCTGGGGGTGGAGGGTTGTGTTCCTACCTGACTCAAACGTCTCACCACCAATCCATCCTCCAATCAGCCACTAAAGTGATTTTCCTAAAGCACAGGTCTGATCATATCACCAGAGTCCCTACTCAATAAACTCCAGTGGCTTCCTATTGCCTCGAGGATCAAATACAAAATGCTCTACTTGGCATTCAAAGCCCTTCATAACCTGGCCCCCTCCTCCCTTTCCAGTTTTCTTACACCTTACTCCCCAGCAAGTATTCTTCCACCCAGTGACACCGGCCTCCTGCCTCTTCCACAAACAAGACCCTCCATCTCTCAGCTCTGGGCATTCTCTCTGGCTGTCCCCCATGCTGGTAACACTCTTCCTCCTCCACTCTGACCACTGACCTCCCTGGCTTCCTTTAAGTCCCAGCTAAAGTCCTACCTTCTACGGGAAGCCTTCCCCAACCCCACTTAATTCCAGTGCCTTCCCTCTGTCAACTGTCTCCTGCTTATCTTGTACATAGCTTACTTTGTAGATATTTATTTACACATTTTCTCCCTCTTTAGATTCATTCACTCAATAGTCATTTATTAAGCATATCCTATGTGCTGGGCACTGTGCTGTGTGCTGTGAGCCCCTTGACAGCATGGATTGTCTTTTGCCTCTTTTTGTACCCCCAGCGCTTAGCACAGTGCCTGGCACATACTCGTAACTTAATAAAAGCGGACTAATTGACGTTCCACTCAGCCCCATGCCCAGCACATGCCCCCAGAACCCAACCCCGCCCCTTTCCCTTCATCCCCGCCCCTACAGCCTCGTTCCTGTCCTTGCCCCGCCCCCTACTTCAGCCTCCCTGGGCTCCTATCCCTCACTTCTCCTTTTCCTCCAGCCCCGCCCCCACATCAGTCTCGCACCGCCTCTCTTCCCTCGGCCCTGCCCCCAGACCGCAGCCTGGTTCTGGCCCGAGCCATGCTCCGCCCCCTCCCCCTCGGCCCCGCCCCCGAACCTCAGCCTCGCTCCGGTGGGGCAGCCCCTGCCTCAGCTCCGCAGCCTCGGGTTCCCGCTCCCCGTCTCGTGCCTGCAGTAAACGGAGGAGTTGCTGCTTTTCCCGTGGGGTCCAGAGCGTGGCCGTGCGGACCCCGGCCGGGGCCAGCCCTCGGTACCGCGCCGGGGCCGCGCGCCGCCTTACAGGAGGCTTCATGACGGCCTGAGCCGGGAGCTGACGCCTCCAGTCTCCAAATACGCCAAACGGTCACTTCCGGATACGCCCCGCTACGGCGGCTGTTAAGAGCCAAAAAAGGGCCAACGGGGAGGCTGTGGCAGCTTTGCTTTTCGTCAGTGCCGTTAGATACGCCTCTATCCCAGGGAAGGAGGAGAGGAAATAAGCTACGCCCGAGTTGAAAAACCAAGTCTTTACTTAAGGGCATGATATTTAATGCTGCATCTGGACTGTAACTTGTGCAAGATTTCAGATCAGTTGTAGTGAACAACTGCAACAGGCAAATGTCTGTTTGGCCTCCTCAAACACTTGAAAATGTTTTCTTTCCAAGGCTTCGGGCCCCCATTGCCTTCAACTTCACCACATGCAGTGGCTCCCCATTGCCTGATAGCTTGTTTGTAAGTAGTTGTTAGTATGATGGGCAGGGACTGTCTTTCCTTTCTTTGTATCCCTACCACTTACCCCAATGCCTGGCCATGAGCCTGTCAGTCCCCAAACATTTATTAAGCTCCTACCACGTGCTAGTCACTGTGGGAAGCTCTGGGGATACAGGGGCAAAAGATAGTCCCCTGCCTTCAAGGAGCTTACAATCTAATGGGGACATCAAGCAAACAAATATCTACTAACGAGCTCTATACAGGATAAGGAGGACATAATTAACAGAGGGAAGGCACTAGGGTTAAGAAATTGGGAAAGGCTTCCTGTAAAAGATGAGATTTTGGTTGGGACTTAAAAGGAAGCCAGGGAGGCCAGTAAGGTGGAGTGGAGGAAGGACATCCTTTCCAGGGATGGGCAACAGCCAGAGAAAATACCTGTAATTGGGAGGTGGAGTGTCTGGTGGGTGGAACAGCCAGGAGACTGGTGTCACTAGGTTGAAGAATATGAGTTGAGAAATAAGGTATAAGAATAACAGCAAGGTAGGAGTGATGCGTTTAGGGGTTCAGGGGTCCTGGGACCCCAGAATCACAATACGGGGGTCCTACCTGAAAGAATTTGACCCAAGCCTTCTTTCAGCCAAAGACAAGGTTTATTAGAACATCTGTCATATTCGGCAGGCTCTTAAGGAGTCTGAACATTAGTAAGCAATAGCTTATTATAAGAATCTGACCAGTGGCTAGATTATAAGAATCTCAGCATCTTAATGGAGATGAGATGGACCTTATGTACAGAAAGACTGTGGGAGGGATCTAGGAGTGGCCAAGTAATTTGGGGTGACTGAAGGAAGTGTCTAAGGAAGATCTGGATGGGAGTGGCCAGTAAACTGGGGTGAACAGAACTCCTGGGACCTGGACAATGGAGCCTAGCTAGGATTAAGTGTGGGAAATGGCCAGGGGCGGTAGGGAGGTAAGACAATTGAAGTTGATGGGATTGTAGCCTCAGGTGAACGACACAGATTTGGCCATGTGGGAAAGTCCAGAGCTTTTCCTTTCTGGGGTCTAGATCCCATCCTCGTCAGGAGGGTGCTAGGTTATGAAGGGCTTTGAATGTCAAGCAGATCATTTTGTATTTGATCCTGCTGGCAACAGGGAGCCACTGGAGTTTTTTGAGTAGGGGGAATGACAAGGTTGGACCTTTGTTTTAGGAAAATTACTTTAATGGCTGAATGGATAGATTGGAGTGGAAAGAGACTTGAGCACACTTGAGAGGCTCCAGACCTTCCTGCAGGCTATTGCAATAATCCAGGTGTGAGGTGATGTGGGCTTTCACCAGGGTGGTGGCAGTGTCACAGGAGAGAAGAGGAGTGGGAGAGATATTGCAAAGGTGAAATTGTCACACTTTGGCAACGCCTGGATTATCAATAGAGATTTTGTTTTTGTTTTTTTAAGGATAGGAGAGACAAGGGCATGTTTGTAGGCAATAGGGAAGGAGTCAGTAGGGAGTGGTTGAAAATAAGTGAAAGAGTGGGGACAACAGAGTGGCCCTTTGGATTTGTTCTGGGTTCAGTCAAAGGGCCGCACTTGAGGATCTAGAGGGTTACATGTGGCCTCAAGGCCGTAGGTTCCCTCTGTGTCTAAACATTAGTGGAAAGAATGATTACTTGATTCTCCATATCTGTGAAGGGCAAAGTTGGTAAGGGCTTGGGAGATGAGAAAACCTTCTCTTCTATTCCAGCTTTGAGAGAGGATTCATCAGGATTCCAGGCCCTTTTCATTCAGAGTGCTTTGGAGGGAAAGAAAGATTTTTGGAAGATGCAGAAACATAGAGCAGTCGGCTCCTTGACATATCTCTGATTTTCAGCTTGCTGCAATAAAGACTTTGTTGAATGTCTCCTTGGGTGAGATAGAAACTTTCAGGTTAGTTGAGATGGATTGCTCCCAGTGGTAGGACCCATTCATTCTATGTATTGCCTGGTATATTCTAATCTGTAGAACTTCTCTGATTTCTGTTTGCTATTGATGTGGATAAATGGGCTTATTCCCTAGATTCACTCTTTGTGATGGACACTGTATAACTGGCATTTGGTGGGTAGGAAGTAAAGCCTCTAGATATAACTTGAGGCACTCCTTCCCTATTAAGAGATAGTGACCAGGAAAGCAGCTTGAATTTATAAATCATTTTCCCTAGATTAACACTATTTGACTGGGCAGAGAGATATAATTCTAGTCTAGTATTCCTCTTTGAGGGTAACTAGATGGCACAATGAATAAAATGACAGTCCTGGAGTCAGGAAGCTTCATCTTTCTGAGTTCAAATCTGTCTTCAGACACTTGCTAGCTGTGTGACTCTTGGTGCGTCACTTAACTCACTTTGCCTCAGTTTCCTCATCTGTAAAATGAGCCAGAGAAGGCAATGGCAAACCACCCCACTATCTCTGCCAAGAAAACCCCAAATGGGGTCATGAAGAGTTGGACACAACTGAAATGACTGAACAACAACAGTGTGCCAAGTACTGTCCTTCACGTTGACATTGACTAATATGGACCTTTGTAATTGACCTGAGTTTTGTTGCTTCTCCATTTTAACTTTATTTACACTGTTGTAGTTATTGTGTGTATGGTTCTTTTGGCTCCACTTTCTTCACTCTGTGTCACTTTCCATATTTCTCTGAATTAATTCTTCATGTTTGTCATTCCTTGTGGGGCGGTAATATTCTATTACTTTCCTAGCACTTGGTGGCAATGCAGTGGATAGAACCCTGGGCCCAGAGTCAGGCAGATCTAAAATCAAATCTGGCCTCAGACACAACCTGTTGTGTGACCTTAGGCAGGTAACTTCACCTGTCTGCCTCAGTTTCCTTAACTGTAACATGGAGATAATAATAGCACCTACCTCCCAGGGTTGCTGTGAGGATAAAATGTGATAATAATTGTAAAACACTTAGCACAGTGCCTGGCACATAGCAGGTATTTAATAAATGCTTGTGTCCTTCCTCTTACATGAAAGGTCACCAGAAAAGATACTCTAGGTTGCAGGTAATCTTGGGATCCACAGCCATTCAAAACAATAAATCATAAACCCCCACCAATGTCTTTACTCTTTCTTAGTTTTATTTTCTTAATTATATTGTTTTGTTTTTATATTCCATTTAGGATTACCCTCACTCTGTGATGGGTCTCTTGTAACAAAGTAAACAGTTAAGTAAAACTTAATACAGTGACTACATCGAGTGTGTGCTCAACATTGTACATCTGTAATATCCTTCTTCTTTATTAAAAAAAATAGATATCAATTTTCTCTTCCTCCCATCTTTCAACCCATTGAAAAAATGGAAACAAAAAATTAATTCCTTGCAACAAATATGCTTAGTCAGACAAAACAAATTCCTTCATTGGCAGGGAATCATGAATGGTCTAAACTTTCCTTTGACCTCCCAGCTTGTGCTGTTTGTGTCCCCTGAGGGAAGGTGACAAGGGCAGGCCATGTTCTATCTGTGCCGGCACAAGGCGCCGCCCACCTTCTGCTGCCAGCCTGATCTCCCAGCTGGAATGGGGAGGACCTCTAGCACAAAAAGATCAACTTTTCTTTTGACCCACATCAGATCTTACGTCTCTTGCTAGGCCTGTCCCTTGGGAAAGAGGAAGAGGAAAGTCGGTGGGACTTTCTTCTACTGCTTCACCATGTTGTGCCAAATCTCCAAAGAAAAGTAGTGGACAGGGCTGTACTTTCCATCTTATGCTGCCCTTGTCTTTAGGCCGATCCCCATCATCCTTTGGGAAGAAAAGTAGCATCTTCCACTCAATGAGGAACATTCTCACACCTCATCATACGTTACACATCCTAGTAGTTCTGAATCCTTGGGGGTCATCATCCAAGCCCCATTCCCCACCCCACCACCCGAATCCTTATTCCCATCCTTCTCGACCCTCCCACTCCGAAGTTCCAACCAAATACCATCCTCCAGAGGCAGCTAGGTGGTGTGGTGGATAGAACTCTGGTCTTGGAGTCAGGAGGACCTGAGTTCAAATCTGGCCTCAGACACTTGACACTTACTAGCTGTGTGACCCTGGGCAAGTCACTTAACCCCATTACCTGGCCACCCCCCCCAAAAAAATACCATCCTCCATTTCCAGAATATGTGTTCCATAAGCAATAAATTTCCTTCATCCTAATTGCTTTTCTTTTCCCACTCCTTCGTCTTCTGTTACCGAAACCTGACTTCTCCGTGGTGACACAGCCTCCCTGCCCACCCTTTCCAGTATTGGCTGTATCTTCATTCATTCCCCTTAGCTCCCTCATCAAGTTGGAGGTGCTGGAATACTTCTTGCTCCCTATTGCCCCTTCTAGGTTCCCTCCCTACCTCCATCACTCAGTAACCTGTCTTCTTTTGGGGTTCATACTATTCATCTCTGCCACCCAATCAAATTCCTGGTAGCTCCTATCTACAGATATCCCTTCTTTCTGAAATAGGTTTAGTACATGGCTCATAATTTTTGTCTCTTCCACAACTTCTGCTCTCATGCTAAGGGACTTCAACATACATATTGACGCTCCCTTAGATACTCTAACCACTCAGTTCCTCAACCTACTCACTTTCCACGAGC